TAGATAGTGTCCCTGTATGTATTTTGATCTTTTGATCTTAAATCAACTTGATTACAATTTTCAAAAAATAATTCATCCATGTGCTCCAGTTTAATTCACACTTGTCTCCAGAATGACCATTTCATCAGTTTTTAAGTGTCTTCGGTCTCTGAAAATAGCTGTTTAAAAAAACAAAACAAATGAAGATAAAGAGAAACAAACAAATAAACATTTAGTTTGTGCTATGCAGACAGTATGGACCTATGCGCCTCATATGTACCTGTCTCTTTCAACTAACTCTGAATGTCTGGCTCACTGTGAAAATATTCTGGACACTGACAAATGGCTGGTCCTTATTATAAATGCAGACAAAACCTCACCTTAACCTCACACACCTGTAAACTCTCTAACTTCATGTTTTACAAAGATGTTCACCTTCTCCTGTTACCTGTCAAGGCGAGCTGTTTGATAAAACACGCAGGTTTTTCACTTTGCAGCTCATCACTGTCAAGTTGTGTCCGGGCACATTCAGCCTCGCTGCGCAGGCGCAGTTCCTGCAGTTTGATGGAAGGTTTTAGTCCGTTCCTCACAGGGGAGACGACAACAAACCTGCGCTCTTTAAGTGCTGCTGCTGGTGGTGGGGAAGCAGGGAGTGCAAGCAGCAGAGAGCGCTCGATGAGCCTTAAAAACTGCCACCCTATCTTTTTCTTTTAAACTAACACGCAAGTTTAAAGAACAGGAAACATTCAGAAACGAAGATTTTAAAGAGTTTTGTTGGTGACTTCTTCAAAAGTTAAACCTACAGTATGAGAATGTAACCAGTGGGAGTAGGTGGCCTCCAGTTTTCAAATAATGACTTTCCCACTTTTCATGGTTTTGCATGTCGGTGAATTTATGGTAAGACAAATTACCCCAGTTAACTTGTATGTAGCAAGAAATAGGTTTGTCTACAGCAGAAAGGTCAAATGGTGGGTTTATAAAAACTGTATTTTTAGGAGATGGGTGAATTAAAAAAAAAAAAAATTAAAAAAGGTCTTCAAGGCAATATGGGGGTGTTTTAGCGTAGTTTAGCACTAAAATACAGCTTCATTAACCCTTGTCTTTGATTTTTTTTAATCCGCTTTTGTGTCAGTGAGAGATCAAATTCAGATTTTTGCAGCACTTATACATTTTATGGCTGAATGTTTTTATTTTCAGGACAACCTTCAGGTCACTCATCATGGCCTGCAGTTACAAGCTTTCAAGTTAAAAGCTTCACACTTGAATGTCTATCATTTTACCCATTCACATCCACTCTGAAATTAAAGTTAGACTGTTGCAGTCCAGGACAGTGATGAACTAACTATTGGCTGCTCAAGGACACCTTGGTAACAGGCCTGACTGTGGTTAATTTCCCTAAATGAAACATTAATTTCTAATTATTTACCCTCATTTGCTTTAAATGCTGTTTTATTGTCTATCAAATGTTTCGTTTTAACATTAGCACAGAGTTTTTGCATTATTAGTAAGCCTTTAAATCTCTAATATCTCTAAAAACTATAACCAAATGATTAAATTACTGGGATTAATCAATGTTTAAGCCACTGTAAACACTAAATAATATTACTGACTAATCTAATTTCCTTCAGGTACATGCTGAGGAAATTTCTGGAAACAATGGGTATGTGGAGCTCTCCTTCTGCGCTAAGAAGCTCGATGATAAGGTGAGAGAAACCAGCTGTTTTCTTTGTTATCACCTAACAACTAAGGTCACGTTGTGGTTCATCTTTGACCTTTGTTTTATTGAAAAAAATCCTAAGAGTGTAGAAGGAGAGTGTACATGTAGAACTAATAATACTTGTGTGAAATGAAAAAAGTACTCTGCAATAACTCACAAATCAAATTTGAACCCAGCATGTAACGTCAGGAGGAAAATGTGTGTGAGTACGTCCACTTCAAGATGAGTTATTACTGACCTCAGCTGCTCTGGCTCTACATGTTCAAACTTTGCCAAGGGCATCTTTCAATCAAAAAGTCAGCAGGAGCTTACATTCACTTATACTTCTGATGATCACACTGTGTTTTCAAGAATGTGCCTCAGGAGTCCAGTCTCATGTGTTGACCTTGATTCCTATATGTACAGACAGCAAGTTCATTTAGCTTTGAAACTGTCGTGAAAATCACTTCAGTTTCTTTGTATAGCTCCAAGTCACTCACAACAGAAGTCGTCTCAGGGAACAGAAACTTTCTCATACATTAAAAAAGCCAATTAGCAAAAGTTATTTATCCAAGGAAGCAGCAGATTGTGTTGAGTCTTCACTTCGTCACAGTCTCCCATCCTGAGCGAGCACAAAGGAGACAGTGGAAAGGAAAAACTCCCTTTTAACAGCAGAACCAGGTTCAGGACGAGCGGCCATCTGCTCAGTTGGGTTTGAGAGGACAGGAAGTAGAAACAGACAAACCCACAATGACAGGTCCAGGTGAACTTTCTATAGGAGGAAAGATAAAAAACACACTAAGATAGAAATAATTGAACAGCTAGAGTAGAGCAAGTAAAGACGGCAGCATAGTGAGGAAATGAGGTCAGTTTGTCCATTAGTCTAAACCTATAGCAGCAGAACTTATAGATAGTTCAGTAAACCCAATCCAACCCTAACTATAGAATTTATAAAAAGGCAAGTCTGAAGCCCAGTCTTAAAACTGGACAATGTGTCAGCCTCATGGATAGAAACTGGAAGTTGGTTCCACAAGAGAGGAGCCTGAGAACTGAAAGATCTTCCTCCCAGTCTGGGTTTGGAAACTCTAGGAACCACAAGTAAGCCTGCAGTCTGAAAGTGAGGTGCTCTGTTAGGAAACATGGAACAATAAGATCTGTAATATAAGATGGAGCTAGGTTGTTGAGAGCTTTGTAGGTTAGAAGGCAGTTTTGAAGTCACATCCCTGACAGTAAGACACATTATTATATGAGGGCCTCCATCCAACCATTTTCTTTATCCTCTTTTCTGTGCAGAGTCACGGGGGGAGCTGGTGCCTATATCTCCAGCTGTCATTTTGCAAGGGGCACTCAGAATCATGTGAGGGCCACGTAGAGATAAACGAGACACACATGAGGGCAGCGCTAATTAAAAAATGTTGTTTGGCCTTTCAGCGAGAAGGTCACCGGTTCAAATCCCGGCTAAGGAGCCTTCTGGATGGAGTTTGCTTGCTCTCTGTGCTGCGTGGGTTTTCTCCGGGTTCTCCGGTTTCCTCCCACAGACCAAAAACATGCATGTTAGACTGATTGGTGACTCTAAATTGTCCCTAGGTGAGAGAGAATGGTTGTTTGTCTTGTTTGTCTCTATGTGTCCCTGTGATGGACTGGAGACCTGTCCAGGATGTTCCCTGTCTCTCATACAGTGATGGCTGGACATGGGCACCAGTAAACCAAAAAGGAAGAAGCGGTTAAAGCTAATGGATGGATGGAGTTTGGCTCCACTCATAGGCAGCCTAGTTTGCTGGAAATATTGAATTTTCTTTAAACACGGCGAAATGCTTCAAATATACTCGTGACATTATCTTGATATCGCCGCCATTGCTGATCTGTGCAAACGGTCCAACTGCAAACATGATTGTTAACTGTGTTTATTACCATCAGAGGAGATAAAGTATCAGTGAAGTGTGGAGGTTTGTTGTTAAAGCAATATTACATTTTTACTCAATCATGGAAGGAGGGAAGAAAATTATGGAATTTGAACCTCGGGGACTGCAGCAATATAAGTAGCTGTTTACACGAGTCTGTTTAGTTGAACTTGTAAAATATACCAAAGATTACACAATTTGGCAAATAAAATGGTATGTTAGCACCAACAAGGTGATTCTGAAAGCGACTTACAGTTGATGGTTAGTGTGATGCATTTTTCAGTTCCTCAATCAGATCTTTGCTGCAGTTTTCCTTTTTTTTTTTAAAGACATGATTTGCAGATTATTGTTCATTTGTTGAAGAGATTATTTTTAGGCCACGCACTGGTCGTTTGTCCACCACTTGTCCTTTTTGCATTTTTTAACTAAACACAGCACAATAAGCTGTCATGGTCAGATACAAGAACCGGACTGAAAATTGAAACCCAGAGATTCTGAAGAACTTTTGGTCAAGACTTCTAAAATACGATGACAAGAAGGTCCGGCTCCTCAGAGACAATGTAACGACAGACAGAAATGATTTTTGAACTTATGCACTGTACTGTATATTTCAAAAATGTGACTTTAGCAGCCGTGTGTTAACAGTAAGCAACAACATTCCAACAACTTTAATCTTTTCAGGAATGTCTGTTAACGGTTGAATTGTTACACGGATGACAAAAGTACCAAATTTTGCATAGGAGTCCCTTTGGGTTAGCAGTTTGAAAAAATAAGCTGAACTAAAACATTTGACCTTTGGAACAGGCTAAAATAGACACTTTTTTCAAAATGGCTACCACATTATGCATTGGACTTATTAACTTTGTTTCTAGGCTGGAGAATGATCTTGGTATTAGTTGTCAAGAATGGGGACTCCATTAAATCTAACGGAAATCCAATTTGGATTGTGGCCATCTTGGATTTCAAAATGGCCGACTGTAAATTTTGAAATATCTACAGAATGATGGGTAATAGGCACATGATCTTGGTGTTTAAGATTATGTTTATAAACACCATGAATATCATGGGATCTTCATCATTTTGCTAATTTCAACTTGAAGCAAATTTGTACCATTTTCTTAAAAATGGCCACTTCACCACATATGGCAAATATATGAATAAAAAGTAATTGACCTAGGACCATGATCTTGGTGACCTTATATTTGTACACACCAGAGATGTCATGGGACCATCAGTTTTGTCAGTATTTAATTAGAGTAGCACCATTTTAAACCCATTTTGAGCAATGATTTTAAAATTCAAGGATTCAAGGTTCTTTATTTGTCATTCGCACCCCATGTGGTACATGTGGTGGAACGAAATTATGTACGCAGAGTCCCAGTTACATCCAACGATAAAATGTAAAAGAAAAACAGTAATAAGATCTAAGATATGAACTAAGAAAAACATCAATTAAATATACACTAAGCACTAGCAGCATAAAAACATTGAACATCTGCAAAGTTCAAATTGTTGATGCAATTACTTCTGTACGATCCTAGTGTATAAATGGGAGTTATCAGATAAGAAAAGGCAGTTGTTTGTTTTCACAATGCATTTTTTTTTCATTCATTCATTCATTCAACATTTATTTATGCAGGTTAGTCTCATTGAGCCTCGAGGACTCATTTACAACAGATCTGTTTTAAACAAAGAACACAGATGAGGTCCAGACAACAGTAGACAATCACATAAAAAGCATATGAAATGAAAAGTAAATGGAATAAATTATATTAAAACGAAACAAAAACTGCTACATTATAAAGCAATGTAAAATATTAAAAACAGGAACATGTCTGTGTTGGTTTTTGCCATGAACTTAGATGTTTGAAATCCCTTAGACAAGTCAAGGTCGAGAGCTTCAGATCTTTTCGAAAGGATACAGGAGGTTATATTATTTTATTCTATTATTTTAGTCATTTTAGATTTGTCAAATAGTTACCTAAATATATCCAATTAGTCAGTAATTTGATTGCTATGTTTAGGATTTACGTTCTAATCTTTGTTTCAAATTCATTGAAACGCGTGTTTGAAAATGTATAATACTTTATTTGAAATTCTACTAATTATCCATGACATGCCACTTTTTTTCACAGTTCACTGTAAAATACATTTTAATGCATGAATATATTTTCTTTTAATATGCTTGCAAACTTTATAAGCATATTTATCACAGTCAAAGTAAAAAGTGAAATAATATATGAATAAATTGTTATGAAAATAAATCTGTGAATAGGAAAATTAACAACATGGTTGCCAGATCTGGGTTAGCGTGTCTCAGCTGAACATTCGTACATTTGGAAATAATCCACTCTTAAAGAATAATTTAACCAAATATACTGCACAAGTGAAATAAGATTGATAAACTTTTTAAAATTAATATTTCATCATCACATAAGCGTAATACTCATTTTATCAACAATTTCTAATTTTCTGGTCAGCAATTTTAAATTCAAGCTGGCCGCCACCTAAAATGGATTTCTGTTAAGTTCAGTAGAAGCTGCATTTCTGAAAACCTACGCTTAGATACCGAGATCATTATACTAAGTAGCCTAGAAATAAGATTGTTAAACCCACTGGATAATGTGGGAACCATTTAGAAAACCAAAACAAGCAAACACATTATGAAAAAGTTTCAGTTTTACTCTGTTCCGAAGGTCTAAGTTTTGGCTCAGCTCCTTTTTTCAAACTGCTCAGAGGAACTCCGATGCAAAATTTGGAACTTTTGTTATCCGTAAATGGGCTGTACTTATACAGCGCCTTTCTATCTGATCAATATACTCAAAGCGGTTTACACTACAATCTGTGCCTCATCTACCCATTCATACAACTCTATACTAGATCGCTACAAAGCTAATTGAACAAATCATTCTAATGAGACTAATCAGTGCTTTATTACATTCATGCACCGCTGGGACACATCGGAGGCAGTGAGGGGTTCAGTGTCTTGCCCAGGGACACTTTGGCATGTGACTGCTGGTGGATTCGAACCCCCAATTCTTGCATTGGAGGACGACTGCTCTAACCACTCAGCCACAGCCGCCCTTTAAATCCAAGATGGCCGCCGTGTAACGATTTTGGCCATTTTTAATTCTTAAAATTAACTATTTATTTTAATTTGTCACCTTAACTGAGCACTTAGTGTCTAAACCTAACCAGGACTTTGTACTGTCTGACTTGAATCAAGTTGATGTAATGAGTAAACAAGTGAAACCAGAAGGGACACTTTTATTTTCACGTTTGCCTTCTTGTGTGCGGTTAACCCAGTTCTGAGACAATAACCAAATTAATTTTCTTAGACTTTAAAAAAAAAAACAAACAGAACAAAACAAAGCTAATGAATTAGTGTCTCATTCTTGACTCACATCTCCATCTGCTAAGCTAAAATGTTGTGTTTGTCGCTGATTAGGTGTTTTGTAAGCTGCTAATTAACTGTGACAGTCGCCTCGCGTGTAACAGTTTATCCAGAAATGCCAGCAGATAATGACCAAAGGACCAAAATGCTTCAGATTAGCTGCTCGCCAGTCACATCACCTCACCCTGCGGTATCTGTTAGCAGGTCAGAGAATACATTTTGTTGAACAGAATGTTTAATTATGAAATATGATAGATTTATTCTTACTGGCAATGATTACCAGCATTGTTAGCCTGAGATTAAGTGACATCTGTGCTTCATCAGTCGATGAAACCAAAGCCAAGGGGCTTGTGGTTACTATGGCAACAAAGAGATGATACTACAGCTCTGCTTGTTTTTTTTTTCTGATCCCTCAGGAGACGTATCTGGCTAATGTGGCGGGAAATGCATCCTTAACTATGATTTCACACACACAAAACACCTTCACACACCTAAGCACCCCACAGACGTGCCCCCCCCCCCCCCCACACACACACACAGATTTTCACAGCAGTAATTATTTGTTTTGCCTCCCTGAAGAATCAATCGACCTAAATAATCAGTGCGGCCTCTGCTCTCAGATGCATGCAGTCCAGATAATAATATAGGGACATGAAAAATAGCATTAAATGATGCCCATTGTTATATATTTTGGCATTTGGGCAAAACAGTTATTTACCATTAATAATGATGTGAAAGGGCATAACTGCAGCCGAGTTCTGGTGATCACTCACAAAAACACAAACTGTTGGTGGAAAAGTTTAATTCTCTCCTGGTGAATTTTCCACAATGGTTGAAGAAACCAATGAAAAATGTTTTGTATCTGCAGAGATGCAACTGTGGGCAAAATATTAATGAGGCTATTTGCTAAAATAAAAGATCAGCATGAAAGAGGCTAATCAATAAAGTTTGAAAGCTTGTAACATATTCTTAAGCTCAGCCTTGATAATGATTTTTCCAGTAAAACCACCCTGATGTGCTGTAAACTTAACGGCTGTGCCTCCCTAACCGTTAATCACAAACACCTCTCCCCCTGCGTTCAGCTCTTTCATTTCACTCAAATTATCCTGGATACACACCGAAAGCTCTTGCAAATTCTAACGAAAGAGATTTTCATCCTCAGCAAACAGACATTTGTACTCCACCACTGTGAACTTGTTAAGATATTTGTGTGGGTTTTTTGTTCAAGTTGAAAAACAAACATAAAAAAAAAACAAGAATAAAAATATATAGTTTAATTCAAAAGTCAGAGAAATGCTCATTAGTTTGGTATTTGGGTGTGAAGTTGCACATCGTTTGATTTTATGCCAAACAGATTTTCATCTCAGAGAAAATAAAAACCAAAAAAGGTTGAAAAAAAATACTTTTACATTATTTTTAATCTGCTTTACTTTTGTTTAATCCTTACTGATGTCACCAGACGTCTACGTATTGAGACACTCACGTTTCATTTCTTTTCTCTGCTTCGGCAGGATCTCTTCAGCAAATCTGACCCATTTCTGGAAATATTTCGAATCAATGACGATGGGACCGAGCAGCTTGTCCACAGAACTGAGGTGGCTTCGCTCACATTTCGCCTTCATTTTGACCACCAGCTGTTTATACATGTTAATCTGCAGGTTTATGTGCTCCTAATCTAACAGGTGATCAAAAACAACCTGAATCCAGTGTGGGAGCCCTTCAAAGTGTCACTCATGTCTCTGTGCAGCTGTAACGAAGAGCAAAAGCTCAAGGTAAGAATTATTTTACTAACTCTTTGTTCATAACACTAAAAGCTACGACAGTCAATATTTAAGTGCATGTTTGAGAGGCAAAAAGGATAAAAACACTGCACACTCTATCTTGTTGGACAACCTTTAACAGCCTTGGTATTTGTTTCATATTCTCTTGCATTGCATCTTAATTTTTCATAATATTTTGTATAAATGGAAGAAAAGTCAAGCAGCTCCAGAAAGTCTTGTTCAGCAGGTTTTACAGATTCTCAGTAGGGTTAAGGTCCAGTGGTGGCTAATCCATGTGTGAAAAATGTCTCCCTGAACCAATCCTTCACAATCTGAGCATGATGTCTCCTGACATTGTCACATTGAAATATGCTCGTGCCATCAGGGAAGAAAATACACACCAGTTTATTCAGTTTATCCAGATTACATGGTTGTTTGGTGGGTACATTTTGGAGGCTGAACTTTGACCAGACCTGCAGAATCAACTGAGACATTTTCATTTCTCTAGTCCATCACAAACTCAAACCTTTTTTCCCAGTCAGCTTCACTTCTTCTTTTTTCCTTCACTCGCTCTTGAGCAAGACGGATGCTTTTTCTTCCCTCTCCCGTCTCCCTCCTGCTTTTTTGCTCTCTGTCTGTGTATCAGAGCTTCTATTTACACATCTTCCAAATCATAAATTACTGTCATGGAGCTGGTCAGTTGGACTTTCAACGCAATTGATAAATTTTTTTCAACCAAGCGACGGGGTCCTGGAGAACCCTCATGCCCCGCTGAGACGCATGAGGCAGGGTACGTCATGGATCCGTGGGGGGAATGGAAGTTGATGTGCCTTTCTGTATTGTCTCAGGAGGATGCTGAAGATGTTTATATCATTGGACTTATGATAACAGGGGTTCTGCTTTTTGGCACCATCGGATGCTTATGTTATCAGCTATTAAAGAAGACGGCGGCAGCAGTTTTGGCCATGGCAAAGCTGCTGACCTTATGTGAAGGTTTGGTCCGTGCTTCGAGCACTCCAACTCAGCTGATTTATGAGCTCAACCGTAATATGGAAGCGATTTATGAGAATCCTAGGCCACTTGCGGCTTCTGGGACTTGTCAGCATATTGGGGACGACTTTGGAGCAAGCTAATATGCACGGACCAGTAGAAAGCCCACAAATATGGCCATTTTGGATAGAAAGTACAAGTAGAACTCAAGGCTGATGAGAAATAACAGTCTGGCTGCATAAAATAACAACTGTCTGACTTCCCCGTTCGGCCTCGAAGCATGCCAACTCATCAAATTTCTCCTGGGATATGTGTAAACTAAGAAGGCTCTGCTTTATCCATCCCCCACGCATCGAGAACTTCTGTGAGCGCTTATCAGAGCTGCACCGGCTGACACCAACATCTTATCAGGACTATGGCGCTATCTGGAAGTGCTTCATGAACAAATCTCCCCGTCTTGTTGTCAAGTGCATATGTAATGTGTTTATAAATGTGTTTGCTGGTAGAAATTTTAATGTCTTAAATCGCGTCCTGATAGGACAAGATGCGAATATGCCACTATCCTTTCCTCATGGCCTTTCCCTTTTTCTATCTAAAGAATAAGTGGCTGCGCTCTTAGGAGCAGCAGCCACATGCACTTTGTAGACGACCGTCCAAACATAAACTCGCTGTATTTTGGTGCAATAATAATAAAGTTTATTCTGATTCTAGTTTGTTCTTCTCTTAAGGTCACACAGACACTTAATCCCAACTCCTTGAATTCTCCATGTGTTGATCTTTAATTGGATTTCAGTAAACACTTAAGTTATGTTTTTTCAAGATATCTTCCAACCACATTTCTATCGTTTATATGTTGGTTTACCACTATGTTTCCATATTTTATTCATTTTTATATTCATAAATTACTGTGGCTGTTTAATCTTTTCCACAACCACAGAATCTACCTTGATTATTGAGCATGCATCAGGATATTTTGAACCACAGGATGTGTCTTCTTGCACCTTTGTTCAGGAGAAGTTGCTCACTGCATCTGTTTGAGTCAAAAATATGTTGCAAGCAGGTTTTTATAAATGAATGCTCTTACTGTTTTGCTTAATTAAATCCAGGCGGTAACTTTTTTCTTTAGTCAGGTAGTGAAATATGAGAAATAGACCCAGCCTCGCTGGAGGAGTAAGCTGTAATGTGTGTGTCACAGTGTCTCGTGTGGGATTACGACTCCAGGGGGAAGCATGATTTCATCGGAGAGTTCTACGCCACATTCAGGGAAATGCAGAAAATTTCCAGTGGAAATAAGGTCAGTGAATTTGGAGGCAAAAACGTGGAGAGGAGAGGTGGCTGTGTGGCTGCTTCATCTGTCTCCAGTCTGCCTCTCACTTCATGCTTGAATTTGATTTGACATCAAATAAATGTCACGGGGCTTTCAGATCATCTGAATGAAATAAACTGTTGCTTCTGTTTTATCGTTATTTATTTAATTTTTTTACCTTTAACTTGCTTTCCTCGAAGGTATCGTGGGATTGTGTGAATCTCAAATACAAGCAGAAGAAGAGAAACTATAAAAATTCAGGCGTTGTTATTCTCACTGACCTCAAGGTAGGAATCCGCTGCGGGAACATCTCATGTTTATCACAAACACACCGAGCGAAGCTGAATCAGCGGCTTTTATCTTCAGATTGACAGCATAAAAGGGGTTTAGGAACGCATTTCTATTCTTGTTTATTTTGATAATCATTGCTTGCTCGTTTGTGTTGCCATCACTTTCACGAGATATTTTCTGAGTTTAAACAACACCTGAGGTTTTGGAAGAAAGAAATAATTGTTGGTTTATTTTTTGCCTCTTTCAGCTCCACAGAGTGTATTCCTTCTTAGATTACATTATGGGAGGATGCCAGATTCATTTTACAGTAAGTTAAACCCTCCATGCCCCATCACTGTCAGTGAGCTATTGTAACCATGAGGTTCTATGAAACAAGCCTTCAAAATGTTTTACACTTTACATTAATTACTATATATTTTCTCTTTTTTTTCCTCCATTCGTGTGCTCAGATTTGTAATATCTTTGCTTCATCTCTTCACTGTGTTTTTGTCAGTTCAAACACTTTTTCATTTACTTCATTTTCAAGAACAAAAGGAAAAATTTTCCAAAAGAGCACTGGATAAGGTAGATCCTTACATCTGCAGTGAAATGGGTACAACTTTACAGCAAGGCTCCCCTTATAGATGGCTAATAAATAGTTTATAGATATGTTATTACTTCCTCTAAAACACTTTATAAATCATTAATAACTGCTAATTATGCATTAATTAAGGGTGACAGAGAAAAAAACTGACCAGTTTTTTTGCCAAATAGTGAGCAAAATCTGCTCACATAGAGTGTTATATTAAACATTTCAGACTAAGTTACAACCTTGTAAGCACAATAAACTTTGTAAACATATTTCATTAGCATATAATATTGTACTTCATCACTGCATTATAAGTATCTACAGCTAGTATTATATCCTTAATGGTGTGGAGGCTGCACAGCTGCAGAAAGAAAAGCTTTGCAGAGAGTGGTGAAGGCTGCACAGAAGATGTTGGAGTCAGCCTCCCCACCATCACAGACATCTACACCTCCAGATGCAGGAAGAGGGCCACCTGCATCATGAAGGACCTCACTCACCCAGCACACACTTTTTGCCCCACTCCCCTCGGGAAGGAGGTTGAGGAGCATTAAGTGTAGAACCACTAGACTGAGGAACAGCTTCTACCCTGAGGCTGTTAGACTCATGAATCTCTAACCAGAATAATCACTGTGAAAAACCATATCATGTTGCTGCTGATCTGTTTCATGTTGCTGCTGATCTGTTTCATGTTGCTGCTGATCTGTTTCATGTTGATGTGTTCATGCGTGCTCATCTGCTCACACAGACTCATGCTCATGTTCGTGCTGATGTTCGACGGAATGTTTTTACGCTATTAGTGCTTAGTGTATTTTTAGTTGATGTTTTTCTTAGTTCATATCTTAGATGTTATCTGTTTTTCTTTTACATTTTTATTGTTGGATGTAACTGGGACCCTGTGTACATAATTTCACTCCACCACATGTACCACATGAGGTGCAAACGACAATAAAGAGTCTCTGACTCTTAAAAAACAGGTTTACAAATGATTATTGTGTCTACAAGGTAGTAACTTAGTCTGAAATGTTTAATATAACAGCTCTAGATGAAATTTGTAGGTAGCAGATTTGGCTCACTATTTGGCAAAAAAACTGGTCAGTTTTGTCTCTCTGTCACCCTTAATTAATGCATAATAAACAATTATTATTAATGATTTATAAAGTGTTTATAAAGGAATTAATAATGTATCTATAAACTATTTATTAGCCATCTATAAGGGGAACCTTATTGTAAAGTGGTACCAAGAAATGCAACCTCTTCAGTCTATGTGGACATTTAAGTTCCTTAATTTAGTCACAATTTATTCCACTAAATTCAGCGATCCCTCATTTAAAACTGCTTTTATTATATCCTAATGAATGCTCAATAATCCTGGTAGAAAAATCCAACAAAGTTAAGCCAGGTCCTCTGGATGGATTCTTTATGTTGAAACATTTCGTCTTTCATCCAAAAGACTTCGTCAGTTCAAGGAGTCTCTACAAACTCAGTCTTATAAATGACACAGAAACCATCTGAGCACCGTCAAACTGGTTGACCCACTATGTGAAGGTGCTATTTATAAGACTGAGTTTGTTGCGGCTTCTCTGACCGATGACGTCTTTTAGATGAAAGACGAAACGTTTCAACACAAAGAAACCGTCCAGAGGACCTGACTGAAATTGGTTGGATGATTTTATTATAGTTTGCAACCGAGTAAACTTAATTTGTAGGTACGTAGGCAAATCAATACTGTAATAATTCTAATGGGTCTGTAATTTTGCACATTTTGTCATTCCTTTTCATCAGGTTGCCATTGACTTCACGGCCTCCAATGGAGACCCCAGGAACAGCTGCTCCCTGCACTACATTAACCCATACCAACCCAACGAGTACCTAAAGGCTCTGATAGCAGTAGGGGAGATCTGCCAGGACTATGACAGGTTTGTCAGTCTTCTGTTTCTTAGAAAAGACTTGTTGGGTCTTCCAGGAACTGCCACTGTCTTCTAATTCTAGCTGAGTGCTTTTTGTGGACTCTCGCGCTGAAAGCAGCTGTTCCAGCTGTTCCAGCTGACCCACAACAAAAGTAAGGACAATAGTGGAAACTTTACAGCGCTGATACAAAAACTGCAGGCTGCTGTGTTTCGGCTCACCAGTTTATTGTTCAGTTCATGGAGCTGAACTGTTAACCAGCACCTTATTTTGTCACTTTTATGTTTCACAGAAACATTTAGAGCCCTCCCTATCTGTTGAGTTATAAGCCTCACTGCAGCTTAAACAGAGCATTTAAATGAGGCGGGTTCATTCTGCCTTAAACCTATTTGAAAGTAATGGATAAGAAAATGATTTGACTGGAGCAACTACCGTAAGCTCTGGCCTCCATCATGCATGATACTAATCTCATCATGATGGTGCTTGCTTTCCTGGATTCAGGATCCATTTCTGCTTTTTGTTTCTATTTCAAGTTGTCATTTTTCCTATTCTTCTACTTTTCTGTTCTGATAAATAAAATGTGGACTTTTTAAAATGATCTCCCTCAGTCATGTATATCTTCTGCAGATTTAGGAGTCCAGAAGCAAATTAAATGATAAATGTCACATTTTATTTGGTTAGATATCACAACAAAAGAAGTTAATTTTAGAACATCCAAAAATACTTTACTCTGCAAGTATTTTTAATATGCATAATGTATTGTCTTTTTATTTATTGTTTTGCTGACATTGCAGTATAATCATGGTAAACAAGTACTTTCATTTTGTCGTCCATTTCTTTTTCCAGGGTATGATAACATTAAAAATAAATAAAGTTTCTAATAAAAAGTACTTTTTTAAATTAAAGACCTAGCATTATTTAAAGGAATGAATATTGACTGATGCCTTTCATGCCAAATTTTAAGATTAAGATAATTTCTTGGTGAGAAATGAAAATGTAGCCATTTTGGTTAAACCTTGAAATTATCTTCACGCGTACAAATTTATTTGTATACAAAATATGGCATGACCTGTGAGCACTCTATAGCTCTCAACTATTAAATCAAATTGTAGCTGAGTATCTGCAAAATGTTTGTGTTTGCTAAGATCAATTAGCTTTGAGGACCATCTTGAATTGGATTAACTCCAGAAGGTAATCAGTTGTGCATTTAGTCATTACTTTCTGAGAATGTTGTAAAATCTCTTCAGAACTTCATTTGGTATTTTGCCAACATGTCTGTTTCTGTGGCAAACAAATCAAACCTTGCAGGACTTTCCAGTTGCAACTTCTCCACTCACAAATCAGTTACAAACCAGCTGCCTTTGTTTCCCAGTTTGCAGGTTTGTGAGCTCACATTTAATCTTAACGAGTCTTGAGTGGAATAACTGGCTCATTTAAAACTGGTAACAAAGCAGAATATCGAACAATACCTTAATCTGACATGAAAATATTCTATATTTAATTATAGAAGTTAATTTCTATCTATATTCAACAGTAGGTTGGTGGTATTCAAATTGAATAATAAAACAATTCTCTAAACAAATAAAACCATCCATCCATCCATCCATCCATCCATCCATCATCTTTACCCGCTTCTTCCTTTTTGGGTCGCGGGGGCAGTGTTGTATACAGTACCTCAAAGTGATACTTCAGTGAAAGTACAAGTATCTTACCATAAAATTACTTTGGTAAAAGTTAAAATCTTCTTTAAAATTATTACTTGAGTTAAAGTCTTAAAGTATCTGACATTTAATGTACTTAATATATCAGAATTCTTCTAATTTTATATTGTAGGAACGAGTAACTAAGATGGTTAAGGGAACTGCAATGGAGTAAAAGTACACAATTTATTGAGGACATGTAGTGAAGTGAAAGTCGCTAGAAATGTAAATAACGAAGTAAAGATACGTCAAAATTCTACCTAAGTACAGTAACAAAGTATTTCTACTTTGTTACATTACAACACTGCACGGGGGTCACTGGTGCCCATATTCAGCAGTCACTGTGCGAGAGGCGGGGACACCTGGACAGGTCTCCTGTCCACCACAGGGACACCCCGGACAGGTTTGCAGTCCACTACAGGGACACATAGAGACAAATGAGACAAACAACCATTCACTCAACATGCATGTTTTTGGTCTGTGGGAGGAAACCAGAGTACCTGGAGAACACCCACGCAGCACGGAGAGAACATGCAAACTCCACCCAGAAAGGTCTCAGCCAGGCCAGGATTTGAACTGGCAACCTACTCACTGAGAGGCAACAATACTTTCAAATAAAACTAGGTCATTTAGTTGTTTTTCTTGTGATTGCTAACACAATTACAGATGTTAAAATGTGTTAAATTTCTTAGAATGACGTATTTATTACTTTAAAATTTACTAAGTATTGGCCACAAATTGTGGAATTAGTTATTTATTTGTAGGTGGACCCCCAGTCAAGTTGCATATCCTAAAAAATGATAGTGCAGTACATCACCATGTTCATTTCAATCTGGTGATGGTTTATGTTCATTTTCATAACCAGACAAGCCGCACATTAAAACTGTAGTTTTTAAGGTACTTGCTTTAAAGGTGTACTTGTTGTCAGTTTGCAACAGGAAGTCCGTGCATGTAGCCGTTTGTAGTAGTGCTGTTCTGGATGTTTGCCATGTTCTCTGCTCACAGTTGTAGCTTTCAGCAACTGTTGCTGTGACTGGCGCTCCTTCTTAGCTTGCATAGGCTCATTACCCTGAACTACAGATGAGACAGAGACTGACACCACCACAGGCAGGCACTTCAAAAACAAGTAGGGAGCTTTCTAGCAAGAGGAGCAAAAAAAACAGCGGGGTGTCAAATCAGATGGAAAGACAGAGGAAATCCTATAGTTGCATGTGGAAGTTCCTGTTGGTACATGAGAGGTGGTGAAATTAAATAAATTACTAGACAAAAACTACAACTAACTCTAAGGACAGCAACTAATTAACGACAAACGATTCAAAATAGGATCTGATTTAAAATAAAAAAAACTCATTCATCTGTCAAAACTAAGCCACATGAGGATTATTACTCTGACTCCTGATTTATGCAGATCCTCATATTGAATGTCAGGGAAGCACTGTCTTCCTAATTTTAGCACAGAAGACACTGAAAACATGCCTGGAAATTAGCAGCTTCTCTTGGCAGCTTTATCCTTTTTATGTTTACACGTTTTGAACACGCAACGACATCATACATGGAAACACGCCTCTGGGTAAATGGTGTGGGAGGCTCTTCCATCTGAAGCCAGAATTGGTATTGAGGTGTAAAGCGTGGGCAAATGAACCTTTTAGCCTTTAGTGAACATAGGTGATGTGGGATTTTTGAGTCTCCACAGCAGAGTGCATTATGGAGTTGGAGTGACTAGTTTATGTCAGTGTGGGTAGAGACTCGATTACCTCTCTGAGAGGGTTGTTACTTTGTGTGGCTTGTCAGAACCTTATCTATTCTGTGCTGGTGATGTGCCATGCCTCAAACATGGAGTTTGACACTGTCTTAAAAAAACCCTCCAAGGATAATTTTATTAGGGTAGCACTGAAGATGATAACTTCTCTATATTTGCCTTTTATGCATCAGGAAAAAACTCAGACCAAACAGCCTTGATGTCCATTCAGCTACATACAGTTTCATTAAATCTATGCAGCTTTAGATAATGGCAAAGCTCGTTCATCCAATAGAGGAAAAATGTTTCTTTTTTCTTTTTTTGCCATGAAGCGACTTTTTGAAATGTGAGAAGCCTCTATTCAATATTTCTTATTGAATAAAAAAAAACTTTTAGTTTCTTTGTTACTGGAGTGCATTTACACATTACAACTTTAAACATTAGTAACAGCATAGGATGGTAGGGAATCACATACAAGATCAAAATAACCCATACAGTTATGATTTATTTTAACATAGCACTTCAGGAGACACAGGTTTTCAATTTCAATTCAATTCAATTTATTTAGCGCAAAATCACAACAAAGTTGTCTCAGGGCTCTTTACAGGAACATTCACATAAAAGCCAATTAGTAAAGTTCTCTATCTAAGAAATCCAGCAGACAAGTTGAATCTTCACTTTGTCGCAGTCTCATCCTGAGCAAGCACAGTGGCAACAGTGGAAAGGAAAGACTCCCTTTTACAAGGAAGAAACCTCCAGCAGAACCAGGCTCAGGACAAGCGGCCATCTGCTTTGACCGGCTGGTTTGAGAGGACAGGAAGGAGCGACAGACGAACATAGAATGGTAGATCCAGATGTTGGTGCAGGTGTGCCTGAAAGACAAAAACACTTTAAGGATAGAAACAATAATTACAAATACAAAACAGGTTGAGCAGCGCAAGTCAGTACTGTAGCAGAGTGAAGAAATGTGGTTAGTTTGTCCTCCAGCAGTCTAAGCCTATAGCAGCATAACTAAGGGATAGCTCAGGAAACCCAAGCTAACTATAGGATTTATCAAAAAGGAAAGTCTTAAAACTGGACAATGTGTCAGCCTCACGGACAGAAACTGGAAGTTGGTTCCACAAGAGAGGAGCCTGAGAACTGAAAGATCTTCCTCCCATTCTGCTTTTGGAAACTCTAGGAACCACAAGTAAACCTGCAGTTTGAGAGCGAAGTTCTCTGTTAGGAAAATATGGAACAATAAGACCAGTAATATAAGATGGAGCTAGGTTGTTGAGAGCTTTGTAGAAAGTAAGATTTTGAATTCAATTCTAGACTTGAAAGGGAGCCAGCGGAGAGAAGCTAAAACTAGAGAGATATGATCTCTCCCAGTAACTCCAGTTAAGACTCTGGCTGCAGCATTTTGGATCAACTGAAGACGTTTTAAAGAAGTATTTGGACACCCAGGTTTTTTGGACACCTATGTTTTAATGTAAACAGTATACCTGTAGATTCTGTCATACTGAAAATTACCACCGGTACCAAATGTTTTGTTGTTCAGCTAACTGAAACTTTCCAGCTTGAAGGTGCTCGAGTTGAGAGATTTATCTCTCTGTCTGCATTATGTAAATCCACATCCATCAGAGTTAATCAAACATTTCTAATGGCTCTGAAAAGCTGCCTCAGAGCAACGTTAACCACTCAAATCACACAATCACGACTTTTCAACACAGCAAATAACTCAGCACCTCCCCACACCGTAACTCGTCTTTTGTAAATCCAACACACCCAGGCTAACTGAATTAACGTTATCATCTCGATGTTTTGGCCACAAACTGATTTTCTTAGGTGGAAGATGTTATTTGTGATTGCTCTGAGCTGGAGAGTTGGAGAGATTTTGTTAGTGAGAAGGGCATGATACACAGTACACACTCTGATAACACAATCAACCGTTACAGAGAGGTGTCTGTGGGCAAACAATCAAAGACGAGAACCAAATATGACAGCTTTGCTCTGTATCTTGAAGCCACAAATCAGCCGCGCAATTGAATGATTTGAACAAACGGTTTATTCTTAATTGCTTCAGTAAGATTTTGATGTTGCCTAAAATGTTGCATACAAGGATTGGCACATGATCCACGCCTTATATTTATTTATCCACATCATCCATCATTTCAGGTATTTATTTGAAAAATAGTAGCCGAAAAGGACTTGACATCACGCGTATGAAAATGAGAAAATGTAGCGTCTTAATAATAACAACGTCCAAAATAGTGTTGAACTTGATGTCAGAGAAATCTGTATCAATCTGTGAACATAGAAGAAGGCAAGGCTGAATGCAAGAAAAGTTATTAATCATTTTGTTGGTCAAATTCACTAGATGGGATAAGAAACACTTTGATAAACAGAGTTTGTTGTTGTACCAACAAAGTAAAACAAAGAAAAACATATTTAACTTAGTGTGTGCAACTTAGCTGTGAAGGCTGATGGAAACAAACAAGCAATTTATAATAATGATAATAAAAATAATAATATGTGTTGTAAAATTGTTTGATTGGTAAACTGTCTTTTGTGGTGCATTTTTTTATACTTTGCGTGTAACAAAGACAGAATTAATGTTGCAAAAAGTAAACCCATTAGTGCCACATCCTGAACCATCAAGTAGATATTCAGCTTTTATATGACACCAGTTTACAAAAGGAGTTAGCAGAGTTAGAGGTTTAGCTTCCAATATTCACATCTGTCATTCACATATTTGCAGCATCGATTCAGGAGGTGTTAAATCTCTGTTTCTTTTTTGTTTTAGCGTTTTGTTTTTGAACATGAGAATTCTGAATGGCTTTTGCAGGTTTAATCCACACAGAGCAAAATGGAAAATGTGCTTTTAATGAGGAAGTCTTTTCAGGTTCAGATTTTGTTTTATTTAAAGAACAGTGGCTCCCTGGTTGTTGACTAGTGGCCCCCAGTCAGGCAGAGCAGTCTCTTGCTGTCACGCCTGCCCATGTAAAAGGTACAATGAAACACAGAGACCTGAAAGACGCTTTGAACAGGTGCAAATGGGATTATGGGACGGATTCCAAACTGTTTGTGAAGCTTTTAACATGTCATGAAATGCAAACAAGCGGGGGGGGGGGGGGGCCCTTGGAAATGTGAACAGATGGAAAAGCCGCCAGTATTTTTCAGTTTGCTGTCTAAACTGCTATGAACTGAATTAATGGCTGGTTTTGATTTTTGTTTCAGCGACAAACGATTTTCAGCTTTGGGCTTTGGTGCCAGGATTCCTCCAAATTATGAGGTGAGCGTATCTGGTTTTATTTTATGCTAATGCAACCTTTTATCCATCCATCCATCCATCCATCCATCCATCCATCCATCCATCCATCCATCCATCCATCCATCCATCTATCCATTATCTTTATCTGCTTTTTCCTTTCGGGGTCGTGGGGGTCACTGGTGCCCAATGTCCAGCAGTCCTTGTTTGAGAGGCGGGAGACACCTGGACAGGTTCATCACAGGGACATATAGAGACAAACAACCATTCACTCTGTCATTCTCTCTCACTTAGCGACAGTTTGAGTTACCAGTCAGCCTAACGTGCATGTTTTTAGTCTGTGGGAGGAAACCTATGCAGCACAGAGAGAACATGCAAACTTTACCCAGAATGGTCCCGGGTCAGGATTTGAGCTGGCAAGCTTCTCCCTGAGAGGTGGCAGCTCTACGAACTGAGCCACCGCGCCACCTTTTACTCAAAGTTAATATTTGACACTTAGTTCAACGCGAACGGTGTTTGCAAATTGTACGAATATTTGTGTGCCCTCACTGAGACGTGTTTTTGTATCCACAACCCATTTTACAACACATTTTATCATTCTGTCAAACATTCACTTTTTAGAGTAATTACTGAGCATATTTTTATTCATAAGCCTCTTGTCCTAAAATATCAACTATCATGTTCTGCTAACACTGAAGTTACAGAGAGTTGATGCTTCATTTACATAAGAATTCCCGAGCGTGAGCACATTTGTTTAAGAAAATTGGACTTTACAAGCTGAAAGCTCTGCGTGACTCCAATTAGCACGCTGGGGAGAAGTCTGATTTGTGAGGAGTGACTACGCTCACAGACACACTCAGATAAAACACCACTCAGATATCAAATCAGAAAGAGTGCCCTGTGTTTAATGCAACAACGCAATGTGTCAGTGTGAAACACAATTATCCTTTCAATCATGCCAAGATTAGGTGCACACTAAAGCTATTGTGTGTACTTCTGAATTTACCATGTCAGTGATTGCCCCACAGGGGTCACATTTATCTAACTGTGTTCTGGTGACACATTTAAGCTGCTGATTGTGCTGAATCTTAATTAAGTCATTATACTAATCAGGAACTGCTCTCTGAACCTGAAGGCGACAGGCTCTAATGCTCCATTTGTGCAAGTTTGATGGATTTCGGCTCAACCAGTTTTGTTATCTTAAACTATGGACTCGCTCTGTGCTACCTACATGCTACTGGGAAACATTTTCATTTGAAAGTCAAGAATTGTCCATAAAGTGATTTGTTGAAATTAATGAAAAATCTCACATTAATAGGGCAACGATTAATGCTTTTTGTGTTTAATCGTGTTGCTAATATTTAAAATTACTAACTAAATTAACATTATCCAAATGTATAATTTAAATAAAGACCATATGCTTTTAAATTCTGTTTAAATAAATCCTTGAATCGTTGAATCCTTAAAGGCTCCACTGTATTTCCTGTTTTACATGTAGAAGTTTGTTCTTATAAATGCATAAAAATATATATTTTTGCACTTTGCTAATTCACTTGTTGCGCTTATTGCTGAATCTTGAATAATTATATTAGGCTACACGAGGTTAGATTCAACTCCTGACTAAAACCTGTTTGTTCTGTCATGTACACGTATGCTAATCAATTGGTAACCATGGCAACGCAGATGCAGCAGGTGCTTTATTCTCCCTGATTAAAATGGGCAAAGCAGTTAAAACTGTGCAGAGGTTTTAGTGTGAGATCTTTGTTCATGTAATTGTTTGATTGCACTGCTAATGTTTTGGCTGCAGGATTTTATTTTTTACGTAATTTATTTATAAAAAGGGTCGTTCCATAGAAGCGACTTGTTTAAGTCTATTAAACATATTGCAGATTAGCTGTATTTGTTCTTATGTGTAACTTTTACCCCCTCAAAATTAGAATCACACAACTGGAGAGATTTTAGGTCTTTTAGTTATAACTTAGCGTTTCTTAAGTAAAAAAACACAGAAGCAAAACATGCTGTTAAATTAAATTAAATTAAATTAATGTAAGATAGACATTATTGCATACATCTGCTGCTATACAGCTTGTCACTATGTTTAATTTCTTGTCTATTAAAAAAAAAGAAGCCAGCTGGAGTTTAATCTGACGTCACTGATCTAGCTGTCGGTTGGAGCTCTTAGAAAAAGTGGCGTTAAGTGGCAGCAGCAAGACATGGAGGCCGCAGTTTGGGAGCTAAGCAAAGAACTCAATCGAACTTGATGTCCAGGTGGAAAGACTAAACAAATAATTCAAACAAGAATGCAATTTGTTACAAAAATCCCATTTTACCATGGAGAACAAGTGATATATTGTGTGCTGTAGAGTGCGGAGAACAGATGATGGAGGATGTTTGGTATAAACGTACGTTACTCAAATCCCTGCACCATAAAAAACACATTATTTTTCTACTCTTGCTGTTTTTGACATTTGCAAACACAAGTGCTCTCTTTGTGAAGATGATGGAGCTGTTTGTTTTCTGATTTCTCTTTTTAGGTGTCCCATGACTTTGCCATTAATTTCAACCCAGATGATGATGAATGTGAAGGTAAGCCGATTTTCTGCAGATGTTACAACACATCTGGAAAACAAGAAGTGTTGGTTAGCAGGTTTTTAACTTCATATTTTTTAACCAAATGAATAAATAACAAATTGTATTTATTTTGCTAAGCTTAATATTTACCTTCTCAACTTAAAAAAAAATTAATTATGGAGAGTTTTCTGCTTTCTATGGATGTTGAGATTGATTCATTCTGCTCTGCGCTCTCTTTGATCAGGGATCCAAGGAGTGGTTGAGGCATACCAGAACTGCCTTCCTAAGATCCAGCTGTACGGTCCAACAAACATTTCTCCGATCATTAACAGGATAGCCAAGGTGTCAGCAGGAGATGGCAACATTAAAGATGCTTCTGTGAGTCCACCTCTGTGCTCCCCAGGAATATACAGATGAATGCAGCACGGTCTTTGTTGTTGTGGCTCACATTCAGATTCCCGAGAGCACAGACTCTGGTTTAACTCTTGCAGCCATAATGCTGAATGATGCAAAAGCAGGGGTAAAAAGTTAATTAGTGTGACTGAAACTGCAGATAGTAGCAGCACAAGCTGTTTTAATCAGGTTTATTTTATATCAGAGAATGTTTCTTGTTAGAAGTTAGTTTGTGAACGGCACTCAAAGTTCGCCCGTTGAGTTTTTAAACCCTTTTCATGTCACTGTGAAGAGTTTTAAGTTTATTTTTCATCAGGAACAGATAAGGATGCCAACAAAAACATGTATATATATATATATATATATATATATATAAAAGATAAATAACACTGAAACCATTCCACAGTGTTTGTGTTTAAAATCAGGAATGAATGGAATGTAAAAAGCTTCACTTTTTTACTATTTTGCTTCTATTTTAAACTGCAAAATCAACAAAAGGTACCACTTTACAAAAGGATTACTAATATGAAAGATTAATAAATAGTTAATAATTTATCATTAAAGTTGTAAACAATAAAAAAAAAAACATTCATACGGAGTTATGCTGCATTAAATAAAAATTTACTTACCAATCAGTGAGCCAAATTTTTATCTGTGCTGTTCAGTTGTACTTTTGAGCTCACATTCTTCTTCACTGGCTGATTTTCAGCATCAGATATTAGCCATGAACACCTTTATAAAAGAGGATAGCAGGCTAAAGAACATACAGGAGAAATTAAATGGTAAATGGTCTGTACTTATATAGCACCTTTCTATCTTATTGAGATACTCAAATCTCTTTACTACAATCTGTGCCTCATTTACCCATTCATACAGCTCTATACTAGATCTGTACAAAGACTAATCAGAGCTTTATCACATTCATACACCGATGAGACACACATAATGATGGGTAAGCATCTTGCCCAGGGACACTTCGGCATGTGACTGCTGGTGGAATCGAACCCCCAACTTTTGCAACTACTTTAACCACCCAGCCACAGTAGCCCTTGTTGTTAAGTAAACTTAGCAACAAGCAAACTATTATAGTTATCAAGATAAAAGACAACACCTGAACGTGCCACATGTGACATTGTTTATGACAAAAAAGTGAATACCAGTTTGAACATTAACATGTAAACGATTTATGCACATACTGCTGCCTGACACGGAAACCAAACAATTTAGCTTTAATATTTGAATTTTGTCCAAGTTTTGTGTGTTTTGAGCCTCAGGGCTGATGTATGACAACTAAAGCTCAGTGGAGGCTTTAAAATCATCCAGAATTACTTTGTATATCAAAGTCTGCTCAGATTACAACACACACTGAGAGATGTCCTTGCTCATGAACACACGGTGGGAGACTGCGTTAATTTCCACACACTCTTGACTGCAGTTGTTTCTTGCAGCGATACCACATCCTGCTCATCCTCACAGACGGTGTGGTGACAGACATGGCTGACACACGTGAAGCCATTGTTCGAGCCTCCTATCAGCCTCTCTCCATTATCATCGTTGGTGTGGGCAATGCCGACTTCACAGACATGCAGATTCTGGACGGAGACGATGGAGTCCTGCGGTCACCAAAGGGCGAACCGGTCCTCAGGGACATTGTGCAATTTGTGCCCTTCCGAGACTTCAAAACGGTCAGTGTTTTTCACCATCTGTCGTTTTTTTCAACCCCCATGACATCTAACTGCTTTGAAGCTATTGAACATAAAACTTGTCTTTTCATGCATCATTTACAGCCGTTATTGTGGAGATAAATGTGCTTATTTTTTGCCTGTGTCACAGATTCAAAAAGATTCACTTAAACTATAGTTGACTAAAATGGCCACATAAAATTAGCAACATTAAATAGCTTTTTTGCACTCGCTCTCGTGCAAGGCGGATGCCTTTTCTGTCCCTCTCCTGTTCTCCTCCTGCTTTCTTGCTCTCTGTGTATCGGAGCTCCTGTTACACATCTTCCAAAATGAAAACTACTGTCATGGATCTGGTCAGCTGGACTTTCAACGCAATCAACAAAATCTTTTCAACAAAGTGACAGGGTCCTGGAGAGCCCTCACGCCCAGCTGAGACTTTCGCGGCAGGATACGTCATGGATCCATGGGGAGTTTGGGAGCTGATGTGTTTTTCCATATTGTCTCAGGAGGACGCCGAAGATGTTTATATAATTGGAACCATGATAGCAGGGTTTCTACTTTTTGGCGTTGATGGATTTCTATGTTATCACTATTAAGGAAGTCAGCGGCAGCAGTTTTGGCCATGGCAAAACTGTAGAGTCTGTGTGAAGGTTTGGTTCATGCTTCGAGTACTCAAAATCAGCTGATTTATGATCTAAACCGTACGATGGAAGCAGTTTGTGAGAATCGTACCATACCATACCATACCATACCATACCATACCATACCATACCATACCATACCATACCATACCATACCATACCATACCATACCATACCATACCACTTTATTTATAAAGCACTTAAAACAGCAACAAGGCCAACCAAAGTGCTGTACAGACAAAACAACAGGTAACACACAAAGCAAAATACAAAATGAGGTAAATCAGAATATAGACATAAAAACGATGCAGATAATGACGACAAACCAGTGTGGAGCATACAGGATCAAAACACAGATCATCTGGTGTTGAAAGCTTCTGAATAGTAGTGAGTTTTTAAGCGGGACTTGAAAACCGAGAGGGAGGGGCCTGTCTGACAAGCAGAGGTAACTCGTTCCAGAGTCTTGGTCCTGCTACAGAGAAGGCCCTGTCCCCTCTGCGCTTAAGACAAGTTCCTGGAACTGTGAGGAGCAACTGGTCCGCTGACCTCAGGGAACGTGGTGGGACATACGGTAGGCCACCTGCAGCTTCTGGGACTCGCCAGCATGTTGGAGACGAACTTGGAGGAGGCTCATAAACACGGACCAGTGGAATGCCCACAAATCTGGCCATTTTGGAACTTGAAAGTATCAGCAGGACTCAAGGCTGACAAGAAAAAAAAGAAAAAAACAGTCTGCCTGAAAAAAACAACAACAATTATGGCTTATCTGAATCTGACTCCCCCGGTTGGCCTTAAAAGCAGGCCGACTTATCAAAGTTTTTTTCTTGGGATATGTGTAAATTAAGGAAAAGCTTTGTTTATCACACAGCTTGCTTATTTTATTTGTGCACTAGAGCGCTCATAAAGTGACCTTGTTTATAAAGTGACTTTCTGCTTTCATACTTAGTACTCATATTTTTAGGGACATCAAATAAAAAAGGTCACATCAACATAATTATTGTTAAGTCTTTATTGTTTGCAAGTTCATGGAGAAAACAAAGAATATTATGAATGAATAAATCTTTATTTCAAACAGACATAAAACAACAACAAAATACATTAATTCAACCTTTATTTAGACAGGTAGATCCCATTGAGCCTTGAGGACTCATTTACAAGAGAGACCTGATTTTAACAAAGAAAGATGACAACAGTGACAACAATAGACAGTTATAAAAAGGCATACAGATTTTTTTTTAACTAATAGGATGGCTAAAAAAGAAAAGTAACAAAAAACAGCTAGATTCTAAGGCGAATGTAGAAAACTAAAAACAGGAACATGTCAGCATTGGTCCCTGCCAGGAGTCCAACAGATTCTTAAAGACACTTAGAGAGGTCAAGGTCGAGAGCTTCAGATCTTTTTACAAGATATTCCAGGAAACATGAGCGGAGTAGGAGAAGGCCCTTTTGTCTAGTTCAGTCCTCACTGAGGGAACACTGCAGGTAATAATGTCCTGAGAGCGCATAGTGTAGCTGCACTCACAGGAGGAGATGTATGAAGGCAGCAGACCAAGAAGTGATTTAAAGATGAAAATGTACCAGTGAGAGAGTCTGCGTGAAGTTAATGATGTCCAGTTAACCAGTGAATACTGGGTGCAGTGGTGGGTACGATAATCACAGCCAGTTATGAATCTTAGAGCACCATGATAGACAGCATCCAACATCTGCATCATCCAACATCTGCAGGGTTCTTGTAGGAGCGTTCGTGTAAATAATGTCACCGTAATCAATGGAGGGAAGGAAAGTCACAGATACAAGGCGTTTTCTAGCATTCAGAGTTAGACAGGGTCTGTTTCTGAAAAAGAAAACCAGTTTAAATTTCAGTTTCTTTACCAAGTTTTCCACATGGAGCTTAAAAGAGAGATGCATATACATGTATACATGTATATACATATACATTATGGCCAACTTACAAAGCCATCTGCATGAAAAGAAGGAGTATGAAGTAAAATCTATATTTTCATACCCCTTTCTCATGGCAACTAAAAACCAGTAAATGTCACTTTAGAACAGATCTTTCTTTTGACTCATTGTCTTTAATTCTGTTGTTTGCTGACTTCTATTAAAATACATCATTTGATTTTTATTTGCTTTATTGTATATTTTTTGCACACGTAACACTTAGGGGAAAATGTGCTGAAAATGTTTTCTCAGTTCTTTGTGTGTGACTGATTGGATGAGACGATGGGAATTCAGAAACTATTCAAAGCTCCAAATGGTTGACACCATACGAGAATCCACACAAAGAGTGTTTTTTTGTGGTTTTATATTCCTTGTTTGTTATGAACTATTATTTAGATTGAGTTGTTCCAGACCTTTTTCACACTTTTCAAGTTCATAACTGTGCTAATTAAAAAACACTGTAGTTTTAATGAAGTTTTAATTCTCATTACTCATCTCTGAATTCATATGATGAACTTTTTGTATTTGCACCCATAAAGTAGTCTCTCCATCCATCCATCCATCCATCCATCCATCCATCCATCCATCCATCCATCCATCCATCCATCCATCCATCCATCCAT